GCTTCAAAATTAAAACATATTTTAATCAATATATATATATATATACTAATATATCAAAACTATAACATAAACTCGCGGCTTCACTACAGCGGCGTAACTCGCTTCAAATCTTTCTCAGTAATTTTGCTTTATTTCCAGATTCAATCGTAGTTTTAAATCTCCCACCAAACTAAAGGACGTAAAGGACGTTTGTGAAACACACAGCGCTACTGAATGTCTGATTGCTTATTTTGCTGAAGATAAGCATTGATTGAGTCCTCACGTCCTGCAATCTAGAAACTCTTCTTCTAACCGCAGGACGGTGCTGTTCGTGAACGTTCGATGCTTTCGGGAAACACAGACTCGTTCGACTGAGGATGACGATGGAACTTGCAAATATAGTTGGCTAACGATGCTTTCAGGAAACACAGCCCTGTATGGACTGACGCCTGTGGTCATGTGACGCCTGTGGTCATGTGACGCCTGTGGTCATGTGACGCCTGTGGTCATGTGACGCCTGTGGTCATGTGGCGCCTGTGGTCATGTGACGCGCTCACCTTCGAGCAGCTGCTGATGATCGAGCTGATGGTACGGCATCTCCCCGAGACTGAACACTTCCCACATGAGCACAGCGAACGCCCACACGTCTGACTTACTGGAGAACTCGCCGTCAAACACGGCCTCGGCCGGGAGCCAGCGCAGGGGAAGCCAGGCCTGCCTGTAGAGGTGGTACTCGCTGCACACACACACACACACACACACACACACACACACACAAACGTTTACTTAGCTATTTAAATGGATACGTTACATAAACGTAATGGTTCTTATACGGTAGAAATGGTATATTCTGTCCCCTTACACAAACCCCACCCCTAAACCTACCCATCACACACACACACACACACACACACACACACATCAGACCAGCTGTGACTGACTGACATCTCCACTAGATGGCGCTCTTCATGCGTGTAAGACTGCACCAGATCTCACAGGAGAAGCTCCTCATGTTTTCCTTTTAAACTATTTTAAAGGCTAATGAATGTTTCACGTCTCCTACAACAGCTTACAGGGCCAAACACACTAAAGTTATCCTCATATGTTGGACAATATATTTTAATACGTTTAATATGTTTTCTCATTCACACTGAAACGATGTGGTCCGCTGGTGATTCGATCGAATAGTTGTAGATATCAGGCTATTTCACATTCAGGAAGGTAAGGAAACGGGATATAGACTAATAAAATGTAACTTCTCCATATCTCTCCTCCTCTCAGGTTCACACACGGTGGTGAAATAAGCAAAATCAACATAGTTAAAATTATGAATGTTTTTGTTTGTTTTTCCAATATCATGTGGCGTTCCAGATGGCAGTTCTCAGAGTAGTCGCTCTGTCTCGAATGATCCCCTTTTATGTCCGGCAGCTTATAAGAATGTATTTCTGGGTTGTTTAGCGTGTTTGCTGTACACCTCGTCACACGGCAGCTTTTGGACATCGTTATGTTTTTTATTATACGTCATAAATGACAAGGATGAGATGCGGACAGTGGCGATGGCGTGTGTTTCACCGTCTCGCTCTCAGAAAACAGCGTCTCCTCGACTCTTCCAGTCTCAGAAACACTAGTGTTAGAGGGCGGGGCTTAGAGACGCTGCTCAGCCAATCAAGACCTCAGGCTGACATTATCAGGATCAGCAGGAAGTGAGACCGAATTACTGACGACTCGTTTCAGTTCAGAATCGGTTCTTTCTGATTTCTCTCATCTTTGAGACACTGCAGATCGTTCACGTTCATGACCATCGCTCTCTCACACACACACACACTGAACCGTCAGCACTGCCGCACCTGTTATAGACGTCCGTGCTGAGCGCGAGCGAGGACACTTTGACGAGTCTCTGTCCGCTGATCAGACAGTTCCTGGCCGCCAGGTCTTTGTGCACGAAACGCTGCTCTGATAAATGCTGCATCCCATCAGCCACCTGGGCACAGATGGAGAGCTGCAGAGAGCAGTCACATGATCAACACCGAGTCACATGACTTCTTGAACACACTGGATGAGGTCATGGGAACTTACTTTAGTTTTGGTGCTGATGGGATGAGGCTTGAGTTTCCCGTCGCCGCTGTTTGATATCCTGAGGAACTGCTTCAGATCACCCTGAAAAACAAGAGCCAATCAGTGTGTGAGTGAGTGTGTGTGTGTGTGTGTGAGTGTGGCTGTACCAGATCCACGTATTCCAGGATCATGTACTGCGGGTGAGCTTCTCGGCAGACTCCCAGCAGCCTCACGATGTGTGTGTGTTTGAGTTTGCTGAACATCTGCATCTCTCGTCTGAACTCGGACTCCTGATCTCGACACTGCAAACTCTTCACCAACACCAGCGTCTCGTCCTCGGACTCCTCGATAGCCCTCGCTTTAGCCAGAAACACCTCGCCGAACACGCCGCGCCCTGCACACACACACACACACAACCACCACTAAACCTATCAAACGTATTAAACAATATTAATAAACTAATATGTTATGATTTCTATAAGTTAGGTATAATGATATCCAAATATCTACGCTGGTGTTCAAAAGTTTGGACTAATAAGATTTCATTATGAGTCTCTTCTGCTCATCAAAGCTGCATTTATTTGATCAAAAATACAGTAAAAACAGTAAAAATATTATTATAATATAAATCATCAACTTTCTATATGAATATCGAGTAAAGTGTAATTTATTCCTGAGTTTATCATCATTACTCCAGTCTTCAGTGTCACATGATCCTTCACAAATCACTCTAATGTGAGGATCTGATGCTCAACACACAGTTATGATGATTATCAGTGTTGAACATGTAATATTAGTGTGGAGAGCTGTATTATTCACACAGGAGTTACCCAGTGTGGTGATGGTCTGCAGGTGCGCTCTGGGAAAGTGCAGTTTGTCAGTGTTTGCTGGAGGTCTCATGGTGGTTAAAGCCACTTCTTCCTGGACCTCAGCCGGCCTGTGGCCGTTCATCTGAACAGCGCCACCTACAGGAACACACACACACACACACACTTCAGATGTCAGCTCTGGTTCATCTGTAAATAAAGAGGGTTGAGGACAGTGAAGGATGAGAGAGGACCAGACCTGCACTGTTGTGTTTATATGTGGCGGCAGTTGACCGTGAGGCCATCTTTACTTTAGTTTATGTATTTGTTTATTTTTTTATTAAAAGAGTTAAGCCTTCTTCTTCCCATAACAACGAACATTGCTACAATTTAGATCAATATTATCTGTTTAATTATTTACTTATGTGGCAAGTAGCCGTGTAATAACGGGATAACGTACATCCAGCTGGTTGTTATCTCAGAATAAAGCCCTTCAGGTGTGTGTGTGTGTGTGTGTGTGTGTGAGAAATGTCAGGAAAAAAAAACGTCAGGTGTGTGAGTGTGTGTGGGTTGTTGTTTTGATGCTTACAACAGGCTCTTTGTGAATGTTTGGATGCTGTGTTGTTTTAATCAGTATTGGTCATTCCAAATAAAAGAATCAAATTTGTGTGTGTGTGTGTGTGTGTGTGAGAGCGAGAGAGAGAGATCTCAGAATAAAGCCCTTCCGGCTGATAGTAGAGCTGATCCTGATCACTGTCGGGTTTATTCTGAGATGACGACCGGCTGGATTTACATTATCCCTTACTCATATGATCCACACACACACACACACACACACACACACACACACACCGTTCAGACACTCCATCTCGGGCTCGTCTGCGGCGGGGCTCTTCTGCAGACGCCTGCTCTTGCGTCTCTGTTTGCAGTAGAACATGAGTCCCAGCACCGCGATGATGTAGGCCACGGCCACGGCCACCGACAGCGCCAGCGTCTGGAACATCCGGAACTGGCTCTTGTCTTCGTCTCCCTCGCGCGGGTGCACCGGCTTCTCTGAGGACACACACTCAACACCTTTACCACACTCACACACGTACTATTATTATTCAGAACAAACAATCATTCCCCCAACTGATAAATAGAGTAGTAATAGTGTAGCTGAAACAGTAGAGCGCTGGCGCTGCAACACCAAGGTCATGGGTTCGACTCCCAGGGACAGCAGCTGATAAGAATGTAAATGTGAACCTCGAAATGCGTCGCTTTGGAAAAAAAAGCATCGGCCAAATGTAAAAACTGTCTAAATAAATCTTCAAGATGATCATGTGATCGGATCCTGGTCCACGGTTGTGATGGAGAGTTTTAGGATAACAGTTTTTCAGTAACTGTATTGGTTCGTCTGCACTGGACAAACACTGAACTGAATTAATCTGAATAATAACACTGCTGTCTTCTGTAGAGATGCTCAAATTGAGCTTTTTTCATAATTAGTGCATTTCACAACATTAACACTGTTATTCTGCTGTTTATTACCGTGAAACAATCAGTTTAAAGTGCTATAGATATAAAAGTGAAATGAAGTTGCAAACACTATATGATCTGTGCAAGTCTGTGTTGCTCACCCACGACGTAAAGCTGCGCGGTCGAGTCTCTGATGCTGCAGGTGTTCCCCGCGATACAGGTGTACATGCCCGTGTCATCAGTGGTGACATCACTAATGACCAGAGAGCCATTGGGCATCTTCTGAAACCTGAGGAGAACACACATAATCAGCACACGTGAAGGATCATCCAGTCTCGGAGGCGCAGTGAGACTGGCACAGTGAGATGGGTGCAGTGAGACGGACGCAGAGAGACGGGCGCAGTGAGACGGGCGCAGTGATGGTGCAGTGAGACGGGTGCAGTGAGACGGGCGGAGTGAGACGGGCGCAGTGAGACGGACGCAGTGAGACGTGTGCAGTGAGACGGGCGCAGTGATGGCGCAGTGAGACGGGTGCAGTGAGACGGGCGCAGTGAGACGGGCGCAGTGAGACTGGCGCAGTGAGACGGGCGCAGTGAGACGTGTGCAGTGAGACGGGCGCAGTGAGACGTGTGCAGTGAGACGGACGCAGAGAGACGGGCGCAGTGAGACGGGCGCAGTGATGGTGCAGTGAGACGGGTGCAGTGAGACGGGCGGAGTGAGACTGGCACAGTGAGATGGGTGCAGTGAGACGGACGCAGAGAGACGGGCGCAGTGATGGTGCAGTGAGACGGGTACAGTGAGACGGGCGGAGTGAGACGGGTGCAGTGAGACGTGTGCAGTGAGACGTGTGCAGTGAGACGGGCGCAGTGAGACGTGTGCAGTGAGACGGGCGCAGTGAGACGGGCGCAGTGAGACGGGTGCAGTGAGACGGGCGCAGTGAGACGGGTGCAGTGAGACGGGCGCAGTGAGACGGGCGCAGTGAGACGGGCGCAGTGATGATGCAGTGAGACGGGTGCAGTGAGACGGGCGCAGTGAGACGGGCGCAGTGAGACGGGCACAGTGAGACGGGCGCAGTGAGACGGGCGCAGTGAGACGGGCGCAGTGAGACTGGTGCAGTAAGACGGCCGCAGTGAGACGGGCACAGTGAGACGGGTGCAGTGAGACGTGTGCAGTGAGACGTGTGCAGTGAGACGGGCGCAGTGAGACGTGTGCAGTGAGACGGGCGCAGTGAGACGGGCGCAGTGAGACGGGCGCAGTGAGACTGGCGCAGTAAGACGGCCGCAGTGAGACGGGCACAGTGAGACGGCCGCAGTGAGACGGACGCAGTGAGACGGGTGCAGTGAGACGGGCGCAGTGAGACGGGTGCAGTGAGACGGGTGCAGTGAGACGGGTGCAGTGAGACGGGCGCAGTGAGACGGGCGCAGTGAGACGGGCGCAGTGATGATGCAGTGAGACGGGTGCAGTGAGACGGGCGCAGTGAGACGGGCGCAGTGAGACGGGCGCAGTAAGACGGCCGCAGTGAGACCTGCTGGAGCTGCTGCTGAGCAGGCGGTCTCTGATGCTCCACTGGATGTAGGGCCGAGGCTCTCCTGACGCCTGACAGTGAAGCACGGCTGTGTGACCCTGATACACCGTCGTCTGCTCCGGCTCCAGCTTAAACTCCACGAGTACTGACAACACACACACACACACACACACACACACACACACACACACAGGTGAACAAGAACGAGTCATCGACCTCAGCGTCCATTCACAACACACACACACACACACACACACACCTCCTACAGTGAGTTGCACGTGTGCTCGTATCTCTCCCTGAGCGCTGCTGGACGCCACACACGTGTAGTTCCCTCCGTCGGATCGGCTCACGGTACTGAAGTGAAGAACTCCTCTCATCTGAGTCGTGTGAGGCGGGAGATCAGCGCCGTCTGTTGGCACACACACACACACACACACACACGACACGAGACACACACGTGAGAAACACGCATGTTCACCTGACACCAGGAAGTCATTTAGTTTAAGTCAGTGCTGGTGATGTGCCTATGCAAATGAGCAGTGACAGTGACAACCAATGGGAAAGCAGACAGCAGAGGTCACGTGATCTAAATCTTGATATATTAGAGACCAGCTGTCTGTGAATTTGAGGATTTGAATGAAGTGATAGAGTCTCAGAGTTGGGGTTGCTCTCTCACCTGCTCTGCTCCAGTGTACTGTGGGTGTCTCTCGCCCGGTCGCCACACAGCTGATGCTGCTCTCTCTCTCCAGCTGCACACACTGCGCCGGCTGCGGGACGGGCGTGAACTTTAACCTCTCTGAGAGACACATCACACACACATGGGTAAAGCTGGCACTGATGATGTAACGGCACGTAAACCACAACGAAACAGAAGTTATATCTGCACAAATCACGAACACACACGTTACAGTCCATTACTGTCGTCGTGATGTTTTCATTTTCATTGCTCTTTGGACAGTTCAGAGGTCATAGACTATAAACATATCCTAAACGTTTCAAAACTCAAAACTTCCTTGATATTCCAGAAATAGCTTTTATTGAGATCAAGGCCAGAGACGGTCAGGATCTGAGAAGTGTGGAATTATGATGTAATAGTGCAGAAGAACAGCTACGCCTGCGTCACGCGTCTTTGGCCCCGCCCACTGCAGCGCTGGTGAATATTACAGGAGGACGAGTAAAGGTCGACACAGGTCAATACCATTACCTTCCACACCATCCTGATGCTAGAAGAGAGTTGATTTCAACTGTGACAGTCTCACACACACACACACACACACACACACTCACCCAGTATGTGAACGCGTGCGTGTGCGCTGATGGATCCTCCCTCCGACACACACGTGCAGCTGAACACCTGACCATCGTTCACCTCAGCGCTGTTGATCCTCAGAGTCCCGTTAGAGAAGAGCTTATAACGAGAGCCCTGCGGAGAGAGAGTGTGTGTGTGTGAGGAACATGACGCGAGGTCACCTGATCAGAAACATGATGAGTGTGTTCACCTCCTCACTGATCGGGACGCTTTTGCGGTACCATGTGACCCGTGGTTCAGGTGTGCCCTGAGCGTGACAGTGCAGGACACCCGGCTGACCCTCCTCGATGTGTGTGTCCTGCGGCCTTACAATCCACTCTGGAGAGGCTGTAAACACACACACACACACACACACACACACACACACACACACAACACACACAACACACACACACACACACTGTAACAGTCACTTAGAGCATTTAAGGCAGTTCGAGGTACAATGAGAACTGAGCAACTTTGAGATCAGTGTGTGTGTGTCAGTTACTTTAAGTGTGTTGGGTCAGATGAGTGTGTGTTGGGTCAGATGAGTGTGTGTTGGGTCAGATCAGAGTGTGTGTTGGGTCAGATGAGTGTGTGTTGGGTCAGATCAGAGTGTGTGTTGGGTCAGATGAGTGTGTGTTGGGTCAGATGAGTGTGTGTTGGGTCAGATAAGTGTGTGTTGGGTCAGATGAGTGTGTGTTGGGTCAGATAAGTGTGTGTTGGGTCAGATGAGTGTGTGTTGGGTCAGAGTGTGTGTTGGGTCAGAGTGTGTGTTGGGTCAGATGAGTGTGTGTTGGGTCAGATGAGAGTGTGTGTTGGGTCAGATAAGTGTGTGTTGGGTCAGATGAGTGTGTGTTGGGTCAGATCAGAGTGTGTGTTGGGTCAGATCAGAGTGTGTGTTGGGTCAGATGAGTGTGTGTTGGGTCAGATGAGTGTGTGTTGGGTCAGATGAGTGTGTGTTGGGTCAGATCAGAGTGTGTGTTGGGTCAGATCAGAGTGTGTGTTGGGTCAGATCAGAGTGTGTGTTGGGTCAGATCAGAGTGTGTGTTGGGTCAGATGAGTGTGTGTTGGGTCAGATGAGTGTGTGTTGGGTCAGATCAGAGTGTGTGTTGGGTCAGATGAGTGTGTGTTGGGTCAGATCAGAGTGTGTGTTGGGTCAGATAAGTGTGTGTTGGGTCAGATGAGTGTGTGTTGGGTCAGATCAGAGTGTGTGTTGGGTCAGATGAGTGTGTGTTGGGTCAGATGAGTGTGTGTTGGGTCAGATCAGAGTGTGTGTTGGGTCAGATCAGAGTGTGTGTTGGGTCAGATGAGTGTGTGTTGGGTCAGATCAGAGTGTGTGTTGGGTCAGATCAGAGTGTGTGTTGGGTCAGATGAGTGTGTGTTGGGTCAGATCAGAGTGTGTGTTGGGTCAGATGAGTGTGTGTTGGGTCAGATCAGAGTGTGTTGGGTCAGATCAGAGTGTGTGTTGGGTCAGATGAGTGTGTGTTGGGTCAGATGAGTGTGTGTTGGGTCAGATCAGAGTGTGTGTTGGGTCAGATCAGAGTGTGTGTTGGGTCAGATAAGTGTGTGTTGGGTCAGATCAGAGTGTGTGTTGGGTCAGATGAGTGTGTGTTGGGTCAGATGAGTGTGTGTTGGGTCAGATGAGTGAGTGTTGGGTCAGATGAGTGTGTGTTGGGTCAGATGAGTGTGTTGGGTCAGATCAGAGTGTGTGTTGGGTCAGATCAGAGTGTGTGTTGGGTCAGATCAGAGTGTGTGTTGGGTCAGATGAGTGTGTGACTCACTGGCGACAGTGACCTCGAGCTCCTGCTGTTTGGTTCCGGCCCGGTTGCGAGCGACGCAGGTGTAGAGGCCCGAGTCTGAGGTGTGTGTGTTGCTGAAGATCAGGTCTCTGTCGCGCTGGTAGACTCGACCCTCAGACGCCACACGAGCACCAGCGCGCTCCCACCACACCTGCGGCTCCGGCTGACCCCGCGGAGGATCGCACCGCACACTCGCCCTGACGGAGGACGACAACACCCGAGACATGCGCTCGCCCATCTCGCTGATCTCTACACACACACACACACACACACACACACACTGCTCTGTCAGGAACACTAGCGTCAAATACAGTTAAAGTACAACCTAATGCGAGAAAATGTGTTCAGATTCATCAATCGGATTGATTTGTGTGTGTGTGTGTGAGTGTGTGTGTTTTGTCTCACCTGCGATCCTGAGCGCTGCCTCCACATGCACGTGTTTGTTCTTTCCATACTGAGCCACACACCTATACACACCTGTGCTGCGCTGCTTCACCTGAGTGATGTGCAGTGTGCCGTTCACATACACCACAACCCTGCACACACACACACACACACACACACACACAAATTGTTTATGAACAATTCTGCCAAAAGTGAGTCAGAGTAACTGTAGCATTTCCTGTTGCTAAGCAACAACACACATGCACACAGATTGTGGGTCACGGGTGTGTTTTTATGGCATCAGACACGACTCTTCCAGACAGAAACGGTTTGATCAAACACAATCTAACATTCAGAATCACAGTCAAAACAGACTGAAGAGAGAGAGAAACGTGTGTGTGTGTGTGTGTGTGTGTGTGTTTCAGCATGTTCACAGCTGCAGTTGTTTCTATTAACACTCTGAAGGCACGAGACAAAGGAGATCAGAATCAAACCGTGACTGAGAGTTTCTGGTGAGATCTGCAGTGTGTGTGTTGAAGTGTAGAGATTAGCACAGGATGTTATTAGCGCATTAACATCACCAAAGCAGAACATCACTGCTGAACGTGCCCAAACATTCACTGGACTACCCATAATGCACCAGTCAAAGACTCAAAGGCATGATGGATCAATTATCAGTGGGTGGTCAGGCATGCTGACACGCTTTAAGGCCCGGATACACCCACAGAAGGTGGAGCCTCAGAGCCACACCCACAGAAGGTGGAGCCTCAGAGCCACACCCACAGAAGGTGGAGCCTCAGAGCCACGCCCACAGAAGAGGAGCCTCAGAGCCACACCCACAGAAGGAGGAGCCTCAGAGCCACGCCCACAGAAGAGGAGCCTCAGAGCCACGCCCACAGAAGGTGGAGCCTCAGAGCCACACCCACAGAAGAGGAGCCTCAGAGGTTCACTGGTCTAATGTGAACAGTGTCTGCTGTGGTTCCCCGAGGTGTAAACACTCCTGATGACGCGGCTCACCCTGATGTGTTGGCGACGGGTTCTGTGTCGTGGAACCACTGGAGAACCGGCGGAGGCTTGGCTCTGAACCGACAGTGGAACACAGCGCCCTCGTCACGCAGAACCACCTGATCCACTGGAGCCACCAGCACACGGGGGAGAGTCTTATCTGCACACACACACACACATATATAGACACACACGCAGGCACACACGCACGCGCATACACAGGCACACAGAGAGAGAGAGAAGAGTTAGGTGTTGATTTAAATAATGTACACACACACACACACACACACACACACACTCGTGTAAGCCTTCCTCTCACTCTCTCCTTTCAATTGTGATTTTCATGCTCTGGCTGATCTCTTTATTTTTTAGCGGGACTTTTCTTCTGTCTGCATGTGTGTGTGTGTGTGTGTGTGTGTGTGTGTGTGTGTGTGCGTGAGCAGCACAGGTGGCTGATGGGAAGGCTGGCCGGGGTGTTGGGTTACGCTTTATACATTTCTGCTTTGCTTTGCACATGAGCTGAGAAACACAACAGAGCGCAAGAAAACATCTGCAGTCTCACGCAAGACACACACACACACACACACACACACACACACTATTGTGTGTTACTGGTGTAAAATAGATTTATTAAAGGAAATGGGGGTGAAAAAATAAAATACTAAAAAATAAAATTCTAATAAAAGACACACCAGTGGCAGCATGTGTGCAGTTGGCATTAACACAGGTCAGAAGATCAAAACTGAAAAATACAGAAATGTCTACGAGGGGTCACGGATGAAAGGTCATGACCTCACCGATGACGTTGAGCGTGATGTTCTGGTCGCTGCACACTTGTCCGGCCGCATTTCGAGCACAGCAGTAGTACATCCCAGAATCCCCTGGGCCGGGGTCGTTCAGCGTGAGGATCCGGTCCTTCCCGGCCAGCTGTTCTCCATCTCTGAACCATTTAGTGCTGGGCCTGGACAGGTCAGAAACAGCTGTCATGTGACCAGCGCAGGGCTCAACACTAACGACACATGAACACTCGCCCGGCACAACCAGCCTGATAAAATACCCAGAGAGTCACCAAAACACGAGGATCATTCTGCAGTCATTTAGTTATTAGCGGCGATCGATGGTGCATAAGAATATCATATATCATCTACAGATGGAAACAAGAGTGCTGTCGTCCAGGAGAAATGGAAATAAATGAGTGCAGATCACTCCAAGAAACTCGTTAAAATACTGCGGTAAAATATAAAGATCATTAAGACGGTTCGTGTTAAAAACTATCATTCTTTCCAACATTTCTTAATTGTATATTAAAAAAACATTAATTCATAACATTATAAATGCAGTTGTAATGTTGTAATGAGAGTAAGTGATTTAATTTGATTGGTGTCTTATTAATCTAGTTAAATTTACTGATCAAATTGATCAAGAATTTAAAAATGAAAAATGAAGCACATATTTAATAAAAATTAGGGAAAATGCTCTTTATAAAGATTAGTGTCATAAATATGCAGATTTAAATATGCCAAAGCTGACACTGATTGCTTCAGAATAAATTATATTTACAACACAAGACAAGTGAAGGCCCGAAGGCCGAGCACACGAGCAGGCTGAACGCGGAGCGCCGGGTCAGAACTCACCGTGGATGTCCATCAATGTGACACTGCAACACGATTCGCTCAGCCTCCTCTAGCTCCGCCTCCGAGGCGGGATCCTTCATGCTGACCGGCCCCCTCTCCAGCCCTGACACACACAACACATCACAGTCATACGCTACAGCATACCACAGACACACACTAGCCCGTCTCCATACAGCGACACACACAGTTCACCGCAGCTCTACAGTGACAACAGGAGATTACACTACAGTACATATGGACATCCGAATATATATATATATATGTATATATGTTAATTTTTTTTGTATGTTCATTTTTAAAACATATGTTTTTGTAACAGTAATGGGCGTAAACTGGTAATGTGGATGTAAGGAAACACTGACACTAACAGGGGTTAGAACTGGTTCGGAACTGGTGCCGGATCAAAGTCGGTTCCACTTGCGACCCACGTCACTGACGCCATCGTCTTAGCTTTACTGTTCCCCTCGTGTTGTTGGTCAACACCCCCCACCCCCCCCGACACCGGCTCCGAACGGCTCTCAAAATGCTTTGGTGGAAACGGGGAATCTGTGATTTAATTGTCCAGAAGGTCTGAACACACACCACAGAGGACAGAGGAGGAGACTGAGAAATCAAGAGGAGCGTGTCTGAAAAGCAGCAACAGATTTAGGCCGGAAAATCAAAGGCGAAGGCAGGAACACTGATCATCTCGACAGGAGTAATTACACAGCTGAGGGCGAGACGCAATCCGACACACAGGAGAGAGAGAGAGACACCGAATGATGAAAATTTCACTCAGTGTGCAAGACCTTAAGAGTTTTCTTATCACTTCATATGATGTGACATATGAGAGAGAGAGAGAGAGAGACAGAGAGAGAGAGAGAGAGAGAGGGAGGGTTTGAGCAGAACTCAACAATGGCCGAGAGCTCCTTTGAGACGTGGCCTCGTTCCCAGAGGCCTCCTGTGACACACTTCTAATGTTGGGCGGTGTGGCCAAAACGTTTTTCTAAATTTTACTGATTTCACGGTATATGACGGTACTTTTATTTTATTTTCAAGCATGACTGTGTGTGTTAACCACATTTTCTACTGATTGCAAGAGGAAATACCGCAGTGGATTGGCTCGATTTCACGGTTCGCGTCGACACACACACACACACACACACTAGTGTTGAACAGGTTTGCAGGCGTTTACAGAGAGGTGCGGAGCGCTGGCCATAAACGCCGCTTTATCAGGAAGATTAACTGAAAATAACAGCAAGACTTCTAAAGACAGTCAGTTTCCTTCAATGATGCATTCATGTACAAAGAAGCGTGCAGCTCGTGTTTACTCAGTGATGTCAGAGCCTTTTGGAAAATCTATTAGTGGCGGCCAGTGTTGATATTAAGAACCACTGTAATATAATTTGACAGATATGCATTATCGTTTAACCCTTCATCTTAACCGTCACACACACAGCAGTGCAACAGCGCGGTTTACAGGTGCAGTGTGTAAGTTTAGTGGCATCTAGTGGTGAGGTTGTGAACTGCAGCCAACAGGAAGTGATGTCATCGCCTGAGACAGCAGAGAGGAGCCAGGTTTATGATATTGCATTCGGTCAACAGATCCTCCTAAATATTACCAGAGAATGTCTAATTGAAGAGAATTGGCACTGGCTGGTTACTTCCGGGTTCTGGACTGGCTGCAGTAACGCGTCTCTGTCCATGCGGGGGCACTCGCGGTCCAGTGCAGAATGAATCAGAGTCAATGGGGTTTCACCCCCAGAAATCCACTTTTCTCAGGATGTAATTTTTTGTCAAGTAATTTGAAGGTTGCATTCAAAAGGGAGGGCTAAGATAATGCACTGTATTTTTAAGTTCACTTATCTGTTCTAAAAATCCGTTCAAAACTGTGACGACGTCACACAATAGCAGAATGCTAGCGTGATCCGGCCAACAACGACCTAACCTGTAAGAAATCAAAAGGACATAAGTACTCGTTCATTCGACTTTTGGCCTATAATCTATATTGAACTTGCGGAATCAGCAATAAAATCTGTGTTAATTTAACGACAAGCAGGTGAAAGAGACGCATTTAGCCGTTTAGCCCCATAGACTCCCATTCATTCTGCACTCGCCCGCGATCACCCCCAGTGGAATTATAATGGAATTTAATGGAATCTGTTAGACGGGCTCTGATATTACACACTGCACCTTTAAGCAACATACACCGGTACTGCAGCACATTAAAAAATCATATCATACTGCATAATAAAAAAATGTTATAAATATATATATATATCTGTCCGGTGTAGCGTTGGGATCTGACCGCTGGACTCACACTTGATGTTGAAGGAGGCGCCGCTGGAGGTCAGTGTCTCCCCGCCGCTGGACGCCACACACTGGAAGCTGCCCGTGTCGTTGTGTCGGTCCACGGATGTGAACTTCAGGTTACTGCCCTCCTGGAAGCGGCGGGTCGAGTCCTGCACGCGCCGCCCGTCCTGAGTCCAGGAGAAGAGTGTGTTCTCCGCGTCGCTGACCTCACAGCGCAGGATGGCACTGCGGCCGTGGAGCGCGTCCTGAGACTTCGGCTCCTTGGAGAACTGGAGAGACGAGCCCTGGATGAAGAGGACTGAGAGCAACAGAGCCCGTCAGACTGATGCAATGATAATGCAGTGAGACACGGCGGGAGATTGAGTCGATACACACACACACACACACACACACACACATATCATCATCATCATCAGATGTGAGTGAAGAACCTGTGAGCTGATCTACAGACCCATATCACATCAGTTTATGTGTTTCATTTCTGGGTTAGTTAAGCGCTTGTTTACTATTAATTAAACGTTGTGTTTCACAGAGGAAATAAAGTCATGCGGGTTCAGAATATATAAATGAAGACAGAATGATCATGTGACTCCCTGAACGCGTCTTCTGATCGATCTGAACATCTAGAACAGAAGCTCCAGTCCCAGAGATGCGGCGATGTACAGCCAACGAGCTCGACTCGTTACGCCTCTCAATCTGCACTCGCTCTCCCGCCAAACGCGTTGACATGGCAACCGGCCCGCTCTCTACGGACTCCCGCTACGAAAGGACAATCGGGAACAGAATTCGGAGCGCTACCTCACTGACGGATGATGTTAAAGCTGTCAGTGACAAGGATTCTGGGATACATCACTGATCCATCGACTAGCTACGTTTACACCGACACTTCTAAATCCAAATTAATTCATTTCCTCGTAGTAATGATAACCCAGAACCATCCCCAAATTAAAGACTCTTGATTAAACTGAATGAGATCAATCTGAATGAAAGGGTGTTTTCCCAGCTGGCTCTAACGGAGTGTGTGTTTCAGAAGCAGGTGTGTATTGTGCCTTGCTTTGGTTCGTTTAGGCATGAACACGACGCTCACGCTCGGCCCACACCACAGCTATCGCTCCGAGATTCGACAACGCCGTCTGGGTTTGACGTTATTTGGGCTGCCGAACATTCGGTGCATCGCTAGTCTCGGCCCGCGACGCTCTGAAATGCGGTGCGATATTGAAGAAAAATACGAAACGATAATGCTTAAAGTGTGTAAAATAAACTTAAATTATCTTTAAAATATATTTAAAATGGTATAACCTAACCAGGCGCATGTGATTCTCCTGCTATTAAAAAAGATCGTTATATCATCACATTAAGTTGATAATTAAGGACAGACTAAAACAGCCCTCAGTCCGACGGCCAGACTTTAATCTCCACGTCTTCTTGTTTACTGTGTTGTCGTTCAAGAGGATTCTCGAATGGACCAATGAGCAAACACTATGTGCAGGTGGTACTCATGGGAGTTGTAGTGTCGTAGTGATAAATTGCAATTCGTTTGTTATGTCTGATGTCTTTGACAAGACTACAATTTTTCACCAGGCCAAAGTGGCGAGTGGGAGTGACTGTGTGACCCGTCAATGCTAATGTCCAGCCCTGACTATAATATTATCTGCATGACACTGATGTGTGGTCTGATTAATTGGCATTAGCTGTAATTAGCATGAAACGCTCACAGAATGTTTTGTTTGAAACACTGAATATTCATTTAAAACTCAGTTTTGTGCCTCAGATGAACAGATGGAAACTATCATGTTGAATATGGATCTAATTACAATCAAATGATGTTTCATAACTGGTTTTACAGCACTGAGGTTTCACTGACAGCAAACCTGCTGCTGAAGCACACACACACACACACACACACATACACACTCAATAATTAGAGAAACTGCTGCACACACACTCATTCAGGAGAGAGAGAGACAGACGGGGCGAGAGACGGGCTGTTGGTCATTAGCAGCAGCTCCTGTTCATTCACCTTTCACTTCCTGTGTCTGCATAATGGACCTTCACATAACAGGCCACACACACACACACACACACACACACACTCCAGCCCAGCACTGATGACTGTGTCTCTAGTGTGTGTGTGTGTGTGTGTCTGCAGTCCGTCAGAGTTCAGTGTCTCTCCGTCTGACAGGAAGTTCATCACATAATCCTTCCCATCAGCCCTGGCGGCCACTTACACACACACACACATTTACTGATGAAACTGACAGGATTTGAAAGCTGAGACTTCAATATGGTGTTTTATATTAATTTAACCATTAAATTGCAGTTTAGAAAAAAAAAAATGAAACCAGAAAAATTTTAATGGAGAAATCAGAATCAGGCAAAAAATAAAACTGAATTTTGAAGTAAAACAGTTTTCAAGGCGCTTCATAAACACACGTGTGTTTCAGACCCGAGGGATAAAATCTGCCACCAGACACTGCAGCTCTTGCTTTCAGTCGCTTTGAAGACACACACACGCACACACACACACACACACACACACACGCACACACACACACACACACACACTTAAGGTTCATCTGATATGAGCGACTGAAGCTCCTTCCCCCTCTTCCACTTGAAACCACCCGACAGCACTTAAGTCAGTCTGACACACACACACACACACACACACACACACACACACACACACACACGTCAGCATTACTCATCTTCATCTGCTCACTGATGGGCTCTTATTGGCTTACGGCCCTTCAAACTTTGGAGCCGCGATGCATTTTCTGTTCATCAAGCCCAGAGAACAGCTCTCACACACACACACACACACACACACACTCACACACACACACAGGAGAGAGAGAGGAGAGATGCTCTCTAGAAAGCCACTGAACCAAATATTCCAGTCGAGTGGCTGAAGGGCTGCGGGCGATCGAGGACGGCATCTCCTCACGGTTATTAGCCAGCGCTACAAACACGCCGCGCAACGATCAAAACACACCGACACACACACACACACACAACACTGCTAATCCATGCCGATGACGGCTGATTGAGATGCGATCTGGGGTCAGCAGAACGAGAGACGGACACACACTCACGCGGACAGAACGAGAGACGGACACGTGTGTTTCATGTGTTTAGTATAGATATGGTGTTTGGATATATGTGTGTGTGTGTGTGTGTGTGTGTGTGGAGTATTGAATGTAAATAGAGTTGAGAGTAAATAGAGCACCATTCCTCCTTAAAGGGACAGCAGCCTCAGAAACTGGTGCCTTCACTTCATTCATGTTCATCAAAAAAACTCTTTTAAATCTTCAATATGAATCAATTTATATTTAATTAATTCATTGAAGACTATACAGTGTTTTATTTTTACATTTGATTAATCAATTTCAGTATTATTTCTTACAACATTAAATTTGCTCCAGTTTATTTCGAGTACATGAGCTAACGCCGCTAACACGTCACCGGACGGATCTGATAATAACGCTCCTGTAACGCTGATGAAGTTTGTTTCATAATTGATGACTTTAGAAACATTAACACTGATATTTGGCTGATCTGGGAGGCGTGTTGTAATTAAGGCGCTGTAGAAATAATGTGATTTAATCGGGTGACCACAGTCTTCCATTAGAGGAACCGCCAATCATATTTATAATACTCCAGTGATTTACATCTTTGATTACCGTATTTATGCTAAAATAAAACTAGTATTATATTATACAACACTCTCAGAACTCATGTTCTCTCATTATTACATATAACTCAGGGGACATTTGTTATTAAGACTTTTAAGGGTTACACTTTATTTTAAGGTGTCATTATATATTAAAGTTCTGAGTAATATTAAGCAACTACATGTGCTAACTATAGCATTAGTTGTGTGTAATTAAGCGTAACTGACTGTTATTGCTACAGGAAGTGCATGTAACGTATGAGACGAGGACGGCGCGGAATAAAGTGTTGGTGTCGGGACGCTCAGAGGACATCCGTCACGCTTCTAGAACATTTAAAACACACTAAAAACTGGATGTTGTGAACATTGACCATTGATTGAAGGTTAGCATAACGTTGTCAGAACAGATTTGGTTAGCAGAACCTCACAGTGTAAAGGGTCACAGCGCTGGGCTAACGCTAGTCAACATCAACATGCCCTACTTAACGGCTTAACTACAATCTTAACAATCTTACATAGTTTCTGCGGTCACACACACACACACACACACACACACACTCCCGCTGGACACAGGACCGGAGCGTTCTGAAACACTAGTGCTGACTGGAGCTTGAACAGACAGAGAGAGAGAGACGCCGTTCCAGGACACTGATCGCTCTGTTCTCATTCAGAGAGCGGACACACACACACACACACACACACACATCTGACCTGACAGCCTGCAGGAACACACACACACACACACACACACACACACGCATCCGACCTGACAGCCTGCAGGAACACACACACACACACCGACTCCTCAGACTACAGCACATCTCCTGCGTTCTGCGTTCACAGGACACACACACACTCCTGAGATGGATAAAGTGAAACACTGTGTGTCGCTCAGTTTCCCTCATCATCATCATCATCACACTGCATTATACTGCACACCAGACACACTCAACACACACACACACACACACACATCATCTATCGGGTTGATAAATTATTATTAACACAACATACACTCACCTAAAGGATTATCAGGAACACCTGTTCAGTTTCTCATTAATGTAATTATCTAATCAACCAATCAGTGTCTTCAGTGCATTTAGGGGCGTGTCCTGGTCAAGGTGGTCTCCTGAACTCCAGACTGGACAGAAAGCAGATTTCAGCAGTGCTGAGCGCGACATCATTACTGGGAGACGACGGACAGGTCCATCCTGCCTGACGAGCGTCATTAGCGGAGCACATGATTACGGTGATGAGGTCACGCTCGTTACATGAGTAATCATCACAGCGCGTGTGTAACTGTGATCAGCTCGTGGGAACCGGTGGGTCAGGAAGGGGTTAAACAGAAGACGTTCCCACTCCTCCTCTCTCTAATCCCTCAGAGAAACACATTCATTCACAGGATTAGTGTACTAGTGGACTAGTGTATTCACACACATCTTTGCGCGTGCGCGAGCGATCGGTTGTTTGTGTTTGTAGCTCCGGAGAATTTCTTCACAAATCCTTGATTTTCTTCTTTACCACTTATTTATAAACAAGCACTTTCTATTTTTATATTATGTGAACTTATCCTCGATAGTATTCCTTATAAAAAACAATTGGATTGCTTTGATATCGCTACTTAT